ATTGATGTATAACCACATATAGATGTATAACCACATATAGATGTATATCCACATATCGATGTATAACCACATATTGATGTATTACCACATATGGATGTATAATCACATATGTTGCACAAAACAACATAATTATGTACATTTTTTCCCCATTCAAAAAGTCCTCCTCCCATTGCGTATGAAAGTGAAATGTTTTTTTCTTCTTACTTGGTCCAGCTCCCCCACTCATTTTTATAACCTATCTTACGTTTAAGAGGAAAAAAACGAGCGAAAAATTAGCATGTAACTAGCTTGTTAGCTTGTTAGCTTAGCTGCACTCAGGGGCTAACTAACGCACAGTGACCTAATTGTACGGGAAAAAATCAGATGTCATCTGACTGGTTGAGCTGTGTGATGGCTGATAGGCTGACTTCTGGTTTTTTTTTCCAAACACAAGCCTTTATTATATATATTTTTTTTTTAAACTTTCCTCCACGCAGGTGTTTTGGCTTTGATGTGTGTGGAGGTAGTCCTATCCGATTATTTATTTGCATTTAGGAAAACTAAGAGGTGGCAGCATCATACTTATCATATGAGACTAAACAGGCTAATTTATTTATTTATTTGAATAGGGACAAAGCACATTAACAAACATCAGTATAAAAACAAATGTAAATATGCCTGATTATAGCTACGAAGCTAGTTTTCAATGTGAGTCCCTAGCCAGGCAAATACATAAGAACGAAGATATAATGAGGTTTTTAAAGAGTCGTTTGATAAAACTGGGAAACTCCAGCTTCCGGCTCTTGTGGGTTTCGATTAATCTGACAAAGAAACTTTGATTATTGACCCAGATGCTCGATTTTTCCTGCTTTTTATCATCTTAAAACCTTTGGACCGTGAAAGTCAGACAGAATGGGAAACGGCTGGTTTTGAAACCGGGATAAAGTACGGCTAAACGGTCCGAAATAGCCGAGTTCAGGACGCCCGTCTTGTTGTTGACTCCCTTGACTTTGAGCGAGTCGTCTTGGCCGGTCTGCAATCAGCCCGGTGCTGCGGATGCTAATTGCTAAGCGGGATGATTGAGCGCGCCGCTCCCCGGCTCTGGCACGCCGTAATTACAAGGCAGAGTTCCTCCCTGACAGCCCCCCTCTATTCCCGTCAAATGAGAGGATATGTTGATTAACCGGAGGAAGGCCTGGCCGCCTCACATCTGCCGGGTTGTCGGTTCCTCGACGGTTTCTTGATTGCGCGGAGCCCGGTTTAAGCTAGCACCTGCACCCCCGGCCAAGAGTTTCCCACGTCCAAGGTGCAAGACTTGGGGCCGATCTGCCAGCGTTAATTGGGGGATCGGGAGAAGGAGACGGGAAAAATCTCGACTTCTTCCCCGTTGCCAAGTTGCCTGAACGTTTCACAGATTTCTCCGAAAAAAAAGGCGGGAGCTGTTGTGTCATATCAGGGAAGTGCCCCCACATCCGATCGCGGGCTAACGAGAAGTAATGGATTCCTACAGGGAGACTGGACATGTTATATTTCCAGTCAGGGCTCTAAATAAACAAATGATTTTTTTTCCCCCGTTTCCTGTAGATAAACTACAGACATGAAAAATGAGCGTGTCCCGACCGAGACGCGTCTTATTATTTCACGGCTGTTTTCCACCACTGCCCACAGCATCGGAGCCTCTTATTAGCCTCAGCGGCTTTTTAGAAGGTTTAGAAAGGCGGGTGGACAAGATGCTCTGGTGTTATTAATAGTAACATTAGCATCAAAAGGCTAGGCTAAGCTAGCATCCATTATCGTTACCGCTTATTCCCTAATGGGGTCATGGGGGGGGTGGAACCTATCCCAGTAGCCAATTGGGAGAGGTGGGGTCACCCTGGACGGTCCCCAGTCCATCACAGGGACACACAGAGACACACAAGGACCAACAACCACACACACTCACACTAAGGGCAGTTTGGAGTCCAACCAACCTAACATGCAGGTTTTTGGACGGTGGGAGGAAGCCGGAGAACGCGAAGAGAACCCACAGACACAGGAGAACATGCAGAACCACCCAGAAAGGTCCTGGTTCCCCCGGGACTCCAACCCAGAACCCTCTGGTCCTGGTTCCCCCGGGACTCCAACCCAGAACCCTCTGGTCCTGGTTCCCCCGGGGACTCCAACCCAGAACCCTCTGGCAGAAAGGGATTTGAACCCAGAACCTTCTTGCTAACCACCACACCACCGTGCCAGCTATGCTAGCATTGAGTTTTAAATGTGGCTCTTTTAGCCCATTAGCCAGTCGATGTCGTGGCACTTGAAGTTTTGGAAGGCTCAGAAACATTACGGTAAACAAGAAAAACAGTCAAGTAGATAAACTAATCGGTTTAGGTCCTGCAAAACGCCTGGAAACGGTGCTTTTTCAGGGCCTAAATGTGTGGCCTCTTCCCTCTTTCTGCACCACAGAAAAGGAACCGTGGCCTCCACGGAAAGCTTTTCATCCTCCTTGGAAAAATAGTTTGCCCCAAAAAAGAAAACAGACAAAGGAGAGGAGACATAAATCGCTGTCTGTGGCTCCAAAAACAGAAACCTCTGACTAACATGCCCACATCCCAGCCTCTGAAAATACCTCCCCAACTGTCTCTAATTACAGTTTGCCATGATCTCAGCATATATGATTATCATATACTGTATGATATTATGAAATTTGAAAAAGTTTTAAAAAAGACACACAAAGACGTACAGTTCAGGCCTAAAAGCAAACAAAGAAAATTCTTTTTTTTTCTTTTTTAGTCAGAATCAGAATCAGAAATACTTTAATAATCCCAGAGGGAAATTATTTTTGTTACAGGCTCCATAAGTAAATCAAAGGCATATACATATGTACATGTCTGTACATATATACATATATATATATATATATATATATATATACAAAATTCTTCATATACTATAGCTAGATATATACATAAAACACTATATGTATATATATAGGTCAAAAGTGTTAACCCTTTAAAGCCCGATCCAAGAAAAATAGGAAGAATATCGGATTTTTTTTTGTCTGAAGTCTTTCTTTGGCCCCTCAACAACATATGAAGAAAAAAAACAGGAATTATTTTGATCAAATTAGTGTGCAATAAGTCAAAAATGTATTTTGGTGTAGTCTTCTACTGGCTGTTATCAGGTATATCTGAATGTGTACAACAGGGTCTCAGATCCAAAAGACTTCAGAAACCGTTTGTATCAAATACGACACATTTGGCATTATAGGGTTAAAACGCTGAGGAATAACTCCCCCCAATATACAGTACACGCCTACGGGATAATTGGAGCATGTTGCCTGTAATAATAACCCTAAAAATCCCGCCCTGACCGTAAATGAGTGGCTGGTAGTGGAGGGAGAGAACCTTTGTGGGAGGTGGGACCCCAACTGGGTTGTGTTCCCATCCCAAACCCACTTTTAAAGGGCGGGGCGCCCACTGTAAATGACACATGGGGTGTGTGTGTGGGGGGGCACGTGGTAATATCAAGGTGAACTAAATATAAGGCCAGAGAGGAGAGAAAAATGCGTCTCGGATTGGTGTTTTTTCTTCTAAATGCCAGGTTGCCATTTGTGGATTTCTCCAGTGAGCATGGAAAAAGGGCACGCACACGCTCAGATATATGTGTCTGCTAATGCAGTGTTTTTCAACCACTAGTGTGCCGCGAGTGATGGTCAGGTGGTCCGTAGAAAATCATCCTATTTCACCTAATTGGTCTAAAAATATTTTTTCATAAGGAATTAATTTTCTGCAAATAATATGGCATTTTTGAGTGTCTGTGCTGTTGTAGTGACTGGTGGAGTAATCATGTAATAATTCCTTATGACTAGATTTTGTATATAATTTTGTATATTGAAGTGGACATGTTAAGTGCAATTTGAAAGAAGAAATATAAAATAAGATAAAAATACATTTTTGTGTTTATTTGATTCCTATTCAAGACACTTAAGATAAGATAAGAATAACTATAGTGTTATTATAGGCAGCTACAGATTTGTTTAACATTTTTGGTTGGTGGTGTGCCTCGAGATTTTTTCAATGAAAAACTGTACCTTGGCTCAAAAAAGGTCGAAAAACACTGTGCTAATGGACCTCCGGGGCCTAGGGCTGGTTTTATTTATTGTTCGGGAGATATCAAGTGGTGGGAGACGCCATTAGAGCAAATTATACCGTGAGAGATCGATGGAAACTGCAGACAGACACTGTAGCCCCTCCGTGTTTTAGCACGCCGTGTTTGTTTTTTTTTCCGTCTCTTTTCCAGGGCCTCAGATCAGCTGCTTCACTCCCACAAACTTCACCGCCAAGCAGGCGGGATACGTGGACACGTACTGCTGGGACTCCCTCATGCACCACGAGTTCGACGGGGACGGGAACTTTGAGGAGCGCTCTCTCTGGGTGCACAAAGTGAGCGGAAACATTCGTATCACCCGATTGGCTAGATCCACTCGGCTAGCAAAACCGAAAATGTCACTGTGTTTTTTATTTTTCCTTCTCTCTGCTGAAACATTGACCAAATATTCAGCTTTAACCTCCCGAGACCCGAGCTTTCGTGTAGTGTGCATTTTTTCAAGATATTTGACATTAGTCGGACCTAATAAGTTTAATAACTAGACTAGACTAGACTAGTTTTTCCTCGTATAAGCTCGGTGGGTTTAAAATGTGTTTATATATTTAATTAAATATTTAATTAAATGTTAATTAAATGGCCTATTTACAAAATTTTAATGACACAATGACAACATGATTGGATTAAAATGTCTAAATAATTTCCCTTTGGGATTATTAACCCTTTAAAGCTTGATCCAAGAATAAAACAAAAC